GCCAGCAACGCACGAGACGACGCGACGGCAAGTACAGCAGATTTCAAGGAGCGCGTAGACACGTGGGACAAAGAAGCCGCACGCATACGGCGCGAGTACATTCAGGCCAACCCGCCAGAGGGTGGAAACGAGGAGCTCATTCTTAACAGCCGCACAGCTATCGAGCTGGGAGCTGGCAAGCGACTGCGGAGACTCTAAGTCTTGTTTTGTTGTATCATTCATGTGTCATATTCGTGTTCCGTGGGCTATCAGCATTTGGAGGAGTTGAGATGGAGTTCGGGTAAAAGGGTGGCTGATATTCTCGCGTGGCTATTTTCAACGGCAGGCGCACAACAATGCACATCCGCCTCGGGCATTTTCGTGAGGCAAGTGTATTTAGTACGTGTATACTCCTTGTAATTCGTCGTCCACAGCGACAGAGGTAGAAATGTAGTGAGTAATACGGAACTAACATGAACGCATGACTGCCGCACACCCATTCGGACCCACCATGGATACCCTGTCGTCGAAGCTGATATGCGGGGGATGTGTGCCGTGCTGCACAAGACGGGAGGGTGCCCGCCTGCTATTGAATCATGTGCATGGCCCCGGCAATATGTTGAGATGGGTGTCAGTGTTGGACTTTGAGTGTAGTCGACAGCGACTTGGCGGGGGTGAAATTCTGGACTGTCAGGCCTGGTGTCGTCATGCTCTGGACTTTTGCAGTGCATGTCACAACCACAGTATGGGAAGACGCTAGAAGCAGTTCCCTCGTCCCCCAATGACGATCGCGCTCTGGCAGCCGACAAGCGCCACGGTTGCTTGCCAGTCTTGTTCTAGAAGCGCGGCGCATGACTGGTGGGAGTTTAGCCTCGATGCAGGCGGCTGAGCGTCTTGTCCATCAGGCACACCGTCGGCGGGCTGGGCAGGGTGCCGTCGAGGGTCAGCGTGTTGTGATGGGGCATCAGCATCAGATGTTCTATGCATGTTCTTCGGTATCGCGCCCCACCGCGTGGGTGATACAATTCGCTGGCCGGGACAGCATTGGATGGAACGGCTGGCTTCAGCGCGTTAGTCCGAGGCGGTTCCTCGTTGGCGGGGTCGCGTGTGCCAGGTCGTGGGGATCTCTCGGCATCGGCCTCTCTTATGGCGCCTCTAGTCGCGTTAGCTATCCCAAAGAGCCATGCCTCGCCTCGCCTTGGTCCGTCTTCCGGCTCTGCTTCCCCAACCTGCCAGCCTTCCAAGCCGCTGTGCGTGAATTGCATCCTTCACGCCTCGTACCTCTGCCGGCCTCCATGTTGCCTTTCGCTCCTTCCACAACCCTGGGCCCGCACCCAGTAGCACCTTCCCCAGCCCGTTCGCACCACGACCGTGCCCACATCGCCTGAAGTGCTGTCGCATTAGCCCTCGTCCGCCTGCACCCCACCCTTTCCCTGCGCACGATACCCCAGCCATGAGTTCCTTTTTCAGTCGCATCAAGTCCGGTGCTGTGAGTCGCGCGTTCATCGGCAATGGCTGGCCCTGACTGACATACCATAGCCGCCCTTGAGCCCAGCGACCGGCAGCATACCCGTCAGGAAAGACCCCAACGCGCCCGAGGTGACGCCGCTCGAGAAGCTGCTGCTCAACGCGGGCCCTCTGCGCGGCGACGGCAGCGACAAGTTCTTCGGCTTTGAGAATGTAAGTCTAGCTACGTAACCGCCCTTCGCGAGCCGCCCGCTGACAACGCTATGCTCTAGTTTGGAAGCACATGGTATGCACACGTCTCGTCCACTCCCGTCCCGACACATACTGACTGCCCGCCAGCTACTGCAACTCGATAGTCCAGTGTCTATACTACTCAGTGCCCTTTCGAGAACAGGTCATCAACTTTCCCGCGCGCTCGCCCCCAGAAGCCCTCGAGAGGCCCACGTCAGGCCCCCTCAAACTCAACACAAACCTCCCAAATGGCCAGAGTACAGCCCTCTCACCCACAGGGCGCACCTCACTCTCCAGTCCAAATGCCAAAAGTCCCGCAAAGCCAGCAACCACGCCAGGCGCGACGAACCAGCCTCCAGGCACCAAGCCCGAGGATAACAAAGACTCGCCAGAGTACAAGAAGAAGCAGGCTCTGGCGGCCGGTCCGGTTCTGCAGATGGACTACGAGAACGCAAACGCATATGGCATGAACGAATCGCTATTTTCATCGCTGAAAGATATATTCGAGGCCGTCATAGCACACAGATCACGCATAGGCGTCGTCAGCCCACACAAACTTCTCGAGATATTGCGGCGAGACAATGAGATGTTCCGGACACCTATGCACCAGGATGCACACGAGTTCCTGAACTTACTGCTGAACGAGGTCGTAGATAATGTCGAGAATTACTCCAAGAGTCGCCCAGCCCAAGTGGAAGAGATAACCGAGGACGGCGAGACTGTAACGGATGGCCAAGTAGTGACCGCGCGGAACTCGGTGGCCTCTGCCAAGTCAAACTCTGGGTGGGTACACGAGCTGTTTGAAGGCACATTAACGTCCGAAACACGATGCCTCACATGCGAAAACACATCACAGCGAGACGAGGCATTCCTGGACCTGTCTGTCGATCTGGAACAGCACTCGTCAGTGACGAGCTGTTTGCGCAAATTCTCAGAAGAGGAGATGTTGTGTGAACGGAACAAATTTCATTGCGACAACTGTGGAGGCCTGCAAGAGGCGGAAAAGAGGATGAAGATCAAGCGATTGCCCAAAATCCTGGCCTTGCATCTCAAGCGTTTTAAATATACAGAGGATCTCCAGCGCCTGCAAAAGCTCTTCCACCGCGTCGTATACCCCTTCTACCTCCGGCTGTTCAACACCACCGATGAAGCAGAAGACCCAGACAGACTATACGAGCTATATGCAGTTGTGGTGCACATAGGAGGTGGGCCCTATCATGGTCACTACGTATCCATCATCAAGACGCAGGATCGAGGCTGGCTATTGTTCGACGACGAGATGGTTGAGCCGGTAGACAAGGCCTACGTCAGGAACTTTTTCGGTGGAGAGAATGTGCTGGCTTGTGCATATGTCTTGTTTTACCAGGAGACAACAGAAGAAGCCATGATGAAGGAGCAAGAAGCCGACGCTCTCGCCGAAGCAGAGCAAGCTGCCAAGATGGCACAGGAAGAAGTCACAACACCGAAAGCGAACGGTGTCAACGGCCAGTCATATCATACCTTCCACAACGCGACCACACCCACGATGGAAGAGGCCGACAAATTCGCGAGCCTCGACCATGCAGCTACCGCCCCACCGCTTGCACAGGTTCAAACGAATACCGACCATCACCCAGTCGAACATACCACAACTCAGGTTCCCGTACTCGCTGCGCGTAAAAGCAATCTCGGGCTCTTCGGTAAGAGCAAAGAAGAGAAGGAACGCAAGGCCCAGGAGAAGGCCCAAGAGAAGGAGCTTGAGAGGCAAGCGAGGGAAAAGCGCAAAGAGATGGAAATCCAACGGCGCGAAAACTACCGCAAACAAGAAGATGACCTCCGTGCAGCACTCGAAGCCAGCAAAACATCAGCAGCTGAAGAAGAGAAGAAGCGCGTCGCGAGTGGGGAGGTTATACCACCACCTCCAAGTGCGGTCGGGGAGAAGGACAAGGCTGCGAATGGCTTTGGCAGCGTCAAGGGTATGAGCGGATTGAGTCGTTTTAGGCATACATCAATGAGTCTCAAAGCCAAACCCAAATTCTGGTCCGGAGGCAAAGACAAGCACGACGGCACGACAGACGAGCACAACCCACCCGATACACCCACCACCGACACCGACAAGGACGGCAAAAACCGCTTCAGTCTAGGGCGGAAGAAGAGCACGTTCAAGTTCTAGGAGACTTGGAGTGCCGAGCCGTAACCGAGTGTCGTTGATTGTTGCATTGTTAGCTTTGGATCCAAGATGTTCACCTGTTGGAGTCTCTTCTGAGCGGATGAGGACGAAAGCCAAAGCGTCGGCGGTGCATTGCATAGTTATCTTTTTTCTTTTCCCTCTCGCAGTCTCTCTCTATGTCTTGTTAACTTGACGATGGCGTTGTAATTACCACCCCGCATGGATTAGGCGGGTGTATTGTGCATATTCAATCTTCGGAATACCGTTGTAGCGTACTCGTTTGAGCAAAACTGCGAGTCCATGGCGACGACAAGAATAGCGAATTATACTGTTTCTCAGATTGTTCTGAGTTCTTGTTACTCTTGTGCAAACACATGTTAATGGTTTACGGGGTTGGGTTGTGGACGGTGAGGTTGTTCACTTCGTGCCTCCTTAGCAGTGCTGTGCTCGGCCGGCGATATCAAAATGACTTTGTGTGGTATGGCATTCGACAGAGAGGCTCCTTTAAACCCTCATTTCTCATGTTGTATAGAACTTACCTAAACTCTTACGACAATGCGGAGGGAATACGTTGAAGTCTCGGAAGTGTTGAAGCAGCTCAACAGGCTGGAAACAAGGACAGGAAGACGACTCGAATCCCGTCAGGACATGAAAGCTTGTGTACAGCAAGAGACAAAGTAAGAAGAGAATAGAGTCTCTACTCTCAACGATATCTGTGCTTGTTTTGGAAGGGTTACTCATACCAGCGATAATTAAGCCGCTCGTCATTCGTGTAGCAAATACATACTTATAAGTATCTCCAGTCAGAGTTTTAGGAAGCAGCTAGCTTGGTCTATGCATAGTGTCTGATCAACCTTACAGAACGTCCGAAGGTATTGCAGACACACGTTGGAGAAGAGTGTGGAGAAGTGATGGTTGTGAAAGAATTGGGTCCAAATTATATTTGATATAGTAACCATATCCATCAGTGCCGAAAGAAGAGAAGCTTGCATCTGCTTTTTTCCTCCGCAGATTAGACTAAAAAGTCGAAACGCAGACACTCTTCCGCAATGGACCGACGCCCTCGATGCCACCTTTATAAACGCCCGCTACTCAATGTTTGCCGCAACCCGCTATACTGATACACCACGCACGCGTACAATCTGCACCACACGTGAACACAACCGACCACTGTCTATGAGAACTTCCACCGGTTACCACAGTTCATGCACTCGCAGAACGTAGTCATAGGTTCATCAGCGGACCTAGTCTGTGCTTGACTGTAGCTGACCATCTTCTGCTTGCATTTTCCGCACTGGAACTCCTTGGAGATCGCCTTTTCGACTTGTGCAACCATGGCTTGGTTCATGTTGAGCTTCTCCAACTCCTCGTCCTCTTTTTTGCGCGCATCCGATTTCATTTCGTCGTGTGTCATGACGACAAATTGCTTCGCGGGTATATCGCCGCTGAATACGCGCCTGCGGAGTTGAGGGTTCGATTTGTTCTTGAGGTTCTGGAAGAGAGAGCGCATCTTTTCCTTGTAGGTATTGTTTACGCTACCTGCGTTACTGTAGGCGGCGGCTTCGACTTGCTTTGCGACACCGAGGATCTCGTCGGGCACTGCGCATGTCAGTCAAGTACAAGGTACACGATATGCTCGAACTTACTCGCTTCACTCATAAAGGCCAGGCCATCGTACATCAGCCTTACGCAGTTGTCGCGTGCCTCGTCCCCGGTGACCTGGTATTTGACCTTGTCGGTCTTGTGATTGCGCTTGTCGGCGGCGACGTCGTGCTTCTTCTTGGCCAGGCTGGGGGCTGGTGACGCAGTCCCTGAGGGTGGAGGAGCTGGCGAAGATGCTGCACCTCCGTTCGCGGCTGCTTTTGCGGGACCATTCATCTTGGGTGGCTGCTTCTTCTTGACCTCGTCCCTCCACTTTGCTACCAGTTCTGTCGCCAGCTTTTGTACAGCCGGGTCCTTGTGCGATCGCAGACGATTGATGGTGACACCAATGCGGGTTGAGCGCAAGAGATCCTCGGTTGCTTGCACACCCGTCTTCAAGTCGTTGAGCAGCTTGATTACAGAAGCGCTTGGCTCGCCCTCGGCCACGGCTTTTCCGATGGCCTTGCCACGGAGCTCAATCTCTTTGGCGTCCATTGCCATAGTTCAGGCAGCAATCCTCGAGGTTTGGTATACAGCGGGCGCAAGATTGTTGTTGTCTTGGTAAAACCGTCGACGATGTTTGTGAAGTCGCAAACACAGTAGGATGGGCCTGCTGCTTGGGTGATTGGGAGAGATTCTGTCGCTGTCACGCGGGCAAGGTCTCTCTGATTTGTTGTTGCGACTGAGAGGTCGGAGGTTCGGCGCGGGGTGCTTGAGCGCGTCCGGAGCAGGTATACGCGACGTTGGTAAGCGGAAGGTGTCGGCGACTGTACAGGCGACAGATGGCAGCTAGGCGGGAGGAGGGAAGGAGATGTGGTGCGATGGCATCGTTGCTCGAGATCTAGAAGTTGCGTTTGCTGAAGAGGCCCGAGCTCACCAACGCTAGCCTCCGCGTTCACCCAAAGGCAACCGCGACCGTTTACCTGGGATCTACCGGACTAGGGACCGACGACAACTGCTGCAGCCGTGAACCTCTACCTCCGGAATTACCAAAAGCCAGCATCCGAAGTATCACTATGGCCGAAAACGCGGCGCCAGGAAGCGCAAACAACACGGGCGCAGACAGCTCGCGCGGAATGCCCTACTACGAGAGACTGCGACGCGACTTGCGCGAATCGCTCAACAAGAAGCGCATCATCGACAACAGTCTGGTCAGTACAGCCAATGACGCGTTGTGAACTTCCGTGTTGACTTTCCCCGGCAGCTACAACTAGAGGACAACATCCTCCGAGTCGAGACGCAGTACCTCGAAGAGACGAGCGCCGGAAACATTATCAAGGGCTTCGACAACTACATCAAGGGAGCGGCGACCACCACAACAGCAGGAGGAGCAGGCACTGCCACCAGACGGAAAGCGCCCATCAGTGATGCAGACCGGATATTCAGTCGGAGCTCTACAAGCTTCCTGAGGGTACGTGGAGAGATACCGCGCTTGCTCATGGACAGCCAGAGAATTGATGCTGACTGCACTCCAGGAATCCTCCACACCGGGCTCCGCGACGCCATCGCACGCTCCTACCCCGACTTCGTCCTTCCCTACGCGCGAATCGAGCCAACCTACAAACGGGGCGAGGCCAGGAGGAAGCAAGAAGAAGAAGGCAGCCGACGACGACGACGATGACGGCAACAAGACGAAGCGACAGAAAATTTCCTACGGCCGCGAGTGAGCACCGATCCCAAGACTCCGACACCGCTCGCTTCGAAAGTGGCGGGATACAAGAATCCTGAAATTACAAAAGAGTACCAAAGTTTCTCCAGGCGAGCAATTTGCTCGAGCGGACGATTGCGCGTCCTATGGGTCCCGAGACACGGAATCCAACACGCCTACCAACAAAATAGGAAGGCACAAAAGCATCGGTTAGGCACCCGGAGCTGCGCGTGTTCAGCGTGTGGATACCTTACAACAGGCGCGGGAGGGCTGAAACTGTCGTAGATCAGACTTGGGAACGCGGGGTTGGTTCAATCTCGATATGAGACCCACTTTAGGGAGGATAACGTACTACACCACCAGCGGACGACAACGCATCTGTGCTGACTAGCTGGCGTTGTAGTGGAGATTACCTGATGCTTGAATTTGGTGCTTGCTTCGAGGAATGGCGGTGGAGTTCGGCTTGGCATTGTGTTACGCGCAAGCCGTGTTTGTAGTCTCTGCTGGCGGCTTCATCTCTGCGAAGCGGATTTCATGCTGGACGAGGGTTAGCATAGTGGATCACAAAGTAGAATGCAAAGTGCAAGTCCCGCTTGTCGCAGCCAGAGATTGTGAAGGATTCGTAGTACATCATCTGGGGATAGCGGTAGCGAATGAGCTTTTTGAACCTGCTTCCCTCAATTCTTCATGACATGGTAGCACCGCAATGTGTAGTGAAGATGAGGCGTATAGTCATAGTCCTACCATCCTTGTTGTTAACCGCTGCAGAGACCCTTCTTTTCGTCAAGATCAAGAATAGCAAGGGCATTAATGCATGCAATCCCAAGCCTCATATGGCTGTTTTCAGGCGGCGTAGACACGACCAGGATTGAGATTATACTACCAGCCATGGTCGCTTAACATGAGACGGCTGCGCAGGAAGTGCATGCTGGTAGGCTGTGGACTTCGCATCCTGGAATATCATGGTATGCGGAACTATAACCCAACGACACCAGTTCGCTTCAGCTAAGGCACTCCGCCCTCGCTTCGTGAGCGTGTCGGTGCATGGTACTACTTGGAGATGCGATCGTCGGAGATTAGGATAGCAAAGCGAAAGGGTGTCTCCCTTACGAACCAACGGTCCAAAAACGCAACACTGGCTTGCATGATGGCTTGCAATTCCGTGTGGTGGCCACAAGGTTTGCGGTTTCAAAGGCCGACCGAAATAGAGGAGCCGGAGCGGGTGGCGAAAAGACAGGTGTTTAGGACCATGGCGGAGATACTTTGTCCTGAGTGGTGGTTCGGCGGTATTGCAAGCTAGATTACAGCGCACTCTCCGGGCACCAACAGGCGCGGCGGACACCAGTAAGGAGCGGAGCGAAAGAGTCACGCACTCGCCTCGTCACGTTCTCGTAACGCGATATGTTGCCTCAAGTTTCGCGATGCTGTAAGTCGTCGCGTCCTTACGACGATCTTTACTCGAAAAATGGCACGACTCTACAGCCGTCAGGCACACTACGATCTCATCTCAGGCTGCTTTCGGACCGTCTCCAGCGCGTGACCCACTGTTACAAGCGAGCATCGTGATTGGCACTCCCTGCAAAGCAGAGAAAATAAAAAGTCCCGCAGCCGACGCGACGCAGAGAGAAAGCCCGACGTCAGCAGCTATGGGGCTTTGCGCTTTCGAGTGAAACAAGTGACATCGTTGCGTCCCACTCAGCCTCGTACGCAACTCCGACTTTGATGGCAGGGGCTACCATGAGTGACGGGACCGGTGGGTGTGAAAGCGAATGATAGCATAGAACCAAAGCCTTTGGCGGCCCAAGGTGCGGCGGCAGACATCCCACTCGCTGAGGTAAGAAGGGTCTTGCGGCTAGCAAGGGGCTGACGCTGCATGACGGGAGCCAAGACCGACCCCTTGTCGTAAGCCCACCGCTCACGGGACGCCAAATGATGGCATTGCGGAGACAAGGTCATGACGAGGTCGCGTTGGCTAAACCGGCGACCGAGGTATCGCAAGTGAGGACCGGAGACCGCGCCATGGTCCCGAACCAAAGGGCCGCTGCCGTCACTATGTCAGCTGGTGAGAAGAGTTTGGAAGTTTTCTAGACAGAGAAAAAACGGGAGATGGTATGCATGGGATTAAACAAGGGTCTTTGATTTCAGCCGCGTTCCTATCCACAATATGGAGGGATGCGTCATTTCGATCCCGCTGCCTGTACTCGACGACTCAGTGTCTGTCGGAAAGCCATCCTGGCTTGTACCCCCATTCGGTGGGTGGCACCTATGCGCGCGCGCTGCAAGCTACTACTGTACAAACGTCATTGTGCTAACCGACCCTCCGCACGACTCTATGTCGGGAAAGGGTGGTTGCTAAAAGAGAGTCTAAAATATTAAAGGGTATAAGCGAATGGTGATGACAAAATGCTCCATGACGACTATGGGTCGAAGCCCTTGTCGAGCGATGTCGAAAGATTAAATAAGCAACGGCGGACGGCAAGGGACCAGGCCCGGATAAGACAAACGCGTAATGTTACAGGGTGTTGAAAATCGCTCGGAAACGGAATACTCGTAATTCGGAACACCAGAACGCCGTGGTGGTCTCTCGGGTCGAGGGCCAGGTGGTATCTCAGTAAAAAATCCGTGGTGGGCAGCGATGGGTAGAAGGGAAGGACCGTCCCAGATTGTTGTCGTTTCGATCTATGGTCGTGACTAGGAAACGCGCGACGGTGGTATCTCAAAACATTATATGTACTGAAGACGTGTGCGACGAAGCGGTTGAAGCGAGTCCTGGGACGGGGTCGAGACAAGCAAGGCACTAAGTGCGACCGAGGTGGTGATCACCTAGTGATCGACGCTCTCCGGTGAAGGGTGGTCGATGCTGCCGTCGTTCTTGTGAACCTTGCGATGTCTCCTCAGGTTGGATACGACGGAGAAGTGGCGGCCACAGCCATCGACTTCGCATGCGAATGCTGTCATAATGTTAGTGATGTAGGTGGTGATGTGCTAGGGAGTGCTTACGCTTCTCGCCAGTGTGGCTGTACATGTGCGTCTGTAGCGAACTTGGTCGTGTGAAGCGCTTGTCGCAGATCTTGCACTTGTGCTTCTTTTGCGAGCTGGAGGAGACCTTCGAGCTGAACTGGCTCATCATCGACGCAGGCGCGGGAGGCATGTTGGCACCGAGGAGCGCATTGGGGCGGGGCAAAGTGCGCGAGTTGCCAAGATCAACAGACTCCGATGCAGAGCTGTAATCTGTCACAGAGCCCTCACCACCGTAGTACCCGTTCGGGCCATAGCTGCCTGATGAGATTGACGAGTGTGTCGAGTGTGCGGAAGGGAAGCCGTAGGAGTCGGTCGAGCTGCGGCTGGTTCCTTGAGAGCCGTAGATATTCCTAGGAGTAATGTCTGACTGACTCAGGGAAACCATGCCACGGCTTGCGTCAAGCGCATCGCTAAAGCTGTTGCGCGGTTGCTGTGCGTTCATTCTGCTAAAGTCAACAAGTGAACTTTGGCGTTGTCGTTGGGCTGCGCTCTCTACGGACTCGTAGAAGGCTATTGAGGGGACTGACGGATGTGAAGAGCGGCGGGAGGCATCCTGTTGGTATGCGTACGGGCTCCTTTCTGTGTTGCCATATTCCACCTGAGAGTAGGGTGCGGAAGTAGGAGCATAGGTTTGGTTTGGTGATGACCCAGAGGTAGCATAGCCAGTAGGGTATCCTCGCGACATGATATCTTCAGACGTAACAAGTAAGTTCTCTGTTCCGAAAGTGCCGTCCGGGAGAGTAATACCTTGTCCCATGGGAGGAGCTGTGACTGGCAGACTGTGGAACGGGATCGCAATGCTGGTAGGCCGTTGCGCGTCTACATTGGGTGCGACCGTTGTTTGGTACAGTTGCTGCTGCGAGGCGCCGGTGGACACCCACGGGTTGGTGAAGTGTGGTTGTTGTTGGGGGTAGCGCATGTGATCGTAGCCCATGCTGCTAAGCTGGGGTTGCTGGCGGTTGTCGACTGCCATTGCCATTGCGATGTCGAGGGTTGCGGAGGTGAGGTGGAAAGGACCGGAGGAGAAGGTGGTACAAGAAGACGAATGTGAGTGTTACAACAGGCACTCTACTCGTAGATCCAGGTGTGAAACGTGATAGTTCGAGGGTTGAAAACGTGGAGATAGTCGATCACAGGTACTCAGTGGTGGGATCTGCGACCTTTTGAATTCACTCTGACACTGGGGACTCCCGTGCAGTGGTAGTCCAAGTCGAGTAAAGATAATCCCTCTGGTATGTCGATCAGTTGACCTGTACTAACCAGGAGCCGTGGCGATGAACCAGCGAGATTAGGTGTAGGGCGAAAGCGGACACCAGTGACTGGGTGGCAGACGCTCGAGCGTTTCAAGTGAAGCACAGTGCTTGCAAGGAGCAGAATGCCCAGCGGGTGCAGGGGCGGACCGTGTGGGCTGGGGTTGCGTGTTGCGTGTCGCGGTGGAAGGTTCGGTAACGTTATTCGCTCCAAAAGCAAACCAGCGACAAAGAAGTAAGGATGTGAGGGTAACGATGATGAAAGCAGTATTGATAGTCTCTGGTACGAGTTAAGGCAAGAGACAATTTAGGATTGAGTAAAGCTTAGAGGTTGGGGAGTGTTGATCAGCAGGCGATTTATCGGGGAAGAGACACTGATAAATTCCGCTCCTTGAAGCGTTTACGTCTTTTGGGTTCACAGCACCTCCATCATAGGCTGGCAGCCAAGCATAGTGAGCAGGCAAGCTGGCTGAAGACCCCGGAAGCACCTACGTCGGTGACGACAGGGATGGTTTGCGCTAAGGCATCTTTCTGCACGCTGCTTTTAAGCGTGTGGGGAGCGTTATTCAATGGCCTGCCCACGGCCGATGTGGCATCCGCGCCATTGAGCGCAGTGGGCTCAACAGCCTTCAGCTCCCGTTTACTCACGCCAGCGTCTACCGCTTCTCCATTGCGCTATCACCGGCAGCCCTCTCACCCGTGAGAGGCCAGTGGTGCGCCAAACAAGCCCTCGCCGCTAGGCGAGCCT